CTCTCCAGCTATCTCTGTCAAATAAAGGCCAAAAAAAACAAAAACAAAAACAAAAAATCATGCTGACCAAAATCCCTGAAAAAGCACAATGTTAATTATGTTTGAAGGTAGAATTTCTCTTGAAGGGTTGGGGCATATCAGAAATATTAGGTGAAGATAGATAGTGAAGTGACCAGAAATAAACAGTTATAGGGAAGTGACCAGAAAAGCATTACCTATTGCCTTGTAGGTTGCAGAGAAACCAATGTGCTGTTGGAGCTCCGCAGAGGAGTCACTTGTTTGAAATATGAGAGTCAGTCTGTTGTCTTGAGAAAGAATTGATACTTTGCCTGGGTGATGAGTTGAATTTTCCTGACCACAAAACTTTCCCAAGACCTTTTGATCATAGAGAACCTGAAAAGTAAGCAAAAAAGACATTGTGAGACCAAAAAGAGCATTCAAAGGTCACTTAAAGTGACTTCAAGTGCGCCTGGGAAAGGTGGCATAGCTTTGCAACTGCTTAAGTTATTTAATTCATTTATTTTTCCACTTGTCTTTCAAACTACATAAACGTGCTGTGTTTCAGGTATATCTTCACACAGGTTTACAGTATATCAGTCAGGATGACTAGACCAGTGATTCATAGTTGCTAAAAAAAACAAGTCTGGGCCCCCTCCTAGAGGCTGACTTGGGAGGGGAGCTCTTTGGTTAAAATCTGGTGGTTTGGTGGAAAGAGCACTCTTGAAACCAACTAACACTTCCTCTGTGAAACAGAGTTTAAAAAGACAGGGGAAGCCTAATCCATATTCCTGGCAGAGGTCTCAAAGTTAGACTGTGACCTTCTGCACACACTGGGGTGATTTGCAGTCAAGGGGGAAGTTGTTGGGATGAGAGTCATCACCTCTGAAGCCATTAAGTCTGAAGCCATGGTTCATTGCTCTTTCTGGACAGGGAGCGATTTGCAAGTACCTGGTTCACAAGTGAGGGTAAAGTTGAGTGTGAGATAAACAGATGTACTGTGGCAGCCTTAGCAATGTGGGTGTTATACAGGAGCGTTGAGGTAAAGGCCCGAAGCCTGAAGGCAAAGCTTTCAATTTTCCAGTCAATCCATGTTCCGGCTCTCACCTATGGTCATGAGATTTGGGTAGTGACTGAAAGAAGGAGCTCCTGGAAACAAGCGACCAAAACAAGTTTCCTCCATAGGGTCGATGGACTCACCCTTAGAGATAGGGTATGGAGCTCAGAGGATGCTCAAAATATAGTTGCCAAGGAGCCAATTAAGGTGGTTTGGGCATCTGATCAGGATCTTTAAAGGTTTTCCAGCAATGTCCAACTGGTAGGATGCCCAGAACATGCTGGAGAGATTAGCTCATCTGCCTTGGGAACACATCAGGATCCCCCAAGAGGAGCTGGAGAAACATTTGTTGGGGAGAGGAACATTTGGATTACCTATACGCCTAGATCCTACTGGACACTGCTCTATGACATTAAGTTTGCAATGCAGTTTTGTTTCACCCTTGACACATTTGAACATTTGAGAAGCAAAGTTGTTTTCCTGGCCAAATGTTTTTACTTTTTTGATATACGTTTAGGAGTCTGAGGATGTTTTATTTCGAACATTGACTGGATGCTCTATGCCATTCTTGTGGCAGACTTGCTGCTTGGGTTGATCTGCTCTGTGCAGCTTGTTTCAGTCAAAAATAGAATATTAGTATTTAAGTTGAGCAGAGTGGAGAGCTGCTTCTTAAATGCACTGCAGCATGTCTGGAAAAACCACAAGTCAGTGTTGCTGCAATCAGCTGGAACACAACACTGCCATGCCATGTAGAATCAAATGTAGAATCAAGCCTTTATGGTGCAAATACACTGGATCCATGGACTGATGTCAACTCAATGGTTCCTACGGTGTTTGAATTTGCATAGCCTCGACTTAATTTCAACTTCATGCAAATTAAGTCATCCACCAACCAACTTGCAGTTCCATCACTCATCAGCCGGGGCACTGTGGTCTTGTGCTCTCAGACGCATCCTCACCGGATTCTGTGTGTCTTCATCATTAGCCTGCTGCCAATGCAACCAGTCCTTGGATAAGCAATAAAAAATGAATGGATGGCTGGTTGGATGGATGGATGGCATGGATGGAGTCACTGGTTCCAATTCAAGACCGCATTTTGTGCAGGTGCATCAATACTCAGATCAAAGTTAAGTGATAAATATTAGACTAAAATTTGGGTTCTGGACTTAAGTACACAACACTGATCTATTATATGGAATATTGTTGAATATTAGAGTTTTTAATATGGCTCTGACCGTCAGAAAGTCCTGATGGCAGCCTGAAGAAGCTTTAATATCCAGATGTGTTAGGGACAGCTGGATCAGGTAGCCTTCAGTAACCCAGATGTCCCATTGCTTCAGCAGGTTAGGAGGGTAAGGCCGGGGATACTGAGGGGAATGGACCTCCCCATGCATTACAGGTTGAGAGTCAGGCAGCTGTGAGCACTTAGTCACTGACAAATACAGACACCTAGAATTGTTTATAAACACAGTTTGAACAAAGGTTCTAGTTAAATTTGATGCAAACAGAAGAAGAACAAATACAGTTTAGAAATACATTTTTAACTTTTGCAACCATATACTGTGCCTTTAGTTTTCTATATGGTACTTAGCTACTTAACTATAAACAATGTTGTAATGGACATCCACACTTTTTACCTACTATTACTTTTTTAAATTGCTAGCATGCAACATAAAGATATTTTAATCAAGCTTACCATATAAGACAGTAAGTCCATCCCATGTCTGTAATAAATGTATCTCTGTGTGACTGCAGCTTTATGCAAAAACATCTCATGGACCATTAATGTCACACAGGCTGTGGTTTGTAGTATTTTGCAATGGAATTTGATCTCCAGGGTTTGTTTATCTTGGCAAAAGTAAATGCAGGTATTAATTGTAGAAGAACAGGGTCAATAATGGCTCAATACATTTGACTAACCAAACTAGAAAAAATAGGAGCAAAACTGTGTGCAGTAAAAGTATGAGCACAGAGAAAACCCAAAACAAGTCAATGATGGAGTAGGATGTGGGAGTTCATGAAGATAGATTAAGTAGGTAGTATGTATGTGCAGTATATTACAGTATATAGTAGACACACACAGTAATTAACAACAATATACATCAGAGTATCTCTTAGTACAAGGTATTAGAGTGACTGACAAATACCAAGTTAGTAAGAGAGAAAATCTGACTAATCTGAGTTGCATGTATGAAAAAGGCACATGCGAGTCTGTATTATGTCACTTTATTTAAAAAAAAAAAAGGCTTTTACAGTGCAATGACTTCACAATCAGTGTGACATTCATTGAATTATTTTAGGAAGTTTGCAGATGGTTCTAATTATGATAAGTAGAAATTGATCATTTGATAATCAATTAGAAGATTGTGTTAATTCATAACTTGTTTAGTTATGTTTAGTTATCTGTTTTCTTATTTTATTGTAAATGTTTTTACTTGTGTTTTATTAATCTTCACACCATGTAATAAATTACTGTTAATTCAGTTCTCCTGCATAGTTTTGTTGATCCAGTCCAGGTAGTTGGTGACTTTGGTATAAACTCTGTATGTTCCCTGTTGTCCACAGTCAACCCCCCAGCTGACAATCCCAGCAACCCAGAACTGTCCGTTATCTCTCAGGGCAAAGGGGCCTCCACTGTCCCCAAGACAGGTGTCTTTCCCACCTTCAGGGACTCCAGCACAAAACATGTTATCTGTCAGACTCGGTAAGTTGTTCCTTGTCTTCTTCAACTTTTTGACAGAATTACGGCATGTGTCCTGCTCCACCACAGGGAGTTGCACATACTTAAGCTTCTTTGTTATCCGTGGGGGGTAAATTTCCATAATGCCAAAGCCTGACACCAGTCTGAAATAAATAAAAAAGACTAGAAGAGCCAGCAATGGTAAATTCAGGAAATCAGAGCCTCTTGTCTAGAAGCTGGACAAGATTCACATGTTGGCACAACAAGGAAAAAAGCAAAAAGAAGAGCAAAATGTTACATAAAATGTATTCTGTAACACTATGAAATGAGAACTCAGTTGTTTCTTTACCCCATCATGCCAGTGATGTATGTGGCGCCCTCTGCTGGCAAACATATTGGCATAATCGATGAGTTGAATGTGATTGGGTCTCGCAGTTTGATCAAGGCAATGTCATTGTTGAAGTCTAAGCCATCCGGGTTGTTGTATTCAGGGTGAATGTGGATTGAAGCAACCAAAACAGGACAACCCATCAGGGATTTAACATCAGTACGGCCCATGTAAACCTGCAAATCAATAGCACAGGAGGAAAAGAATGTCAATTCAAAAACATGGAGGCAATGGGCATGCAGATAACATCTACAGCCCACTTACCCGTACAGTCTCATTTGATACTGGTTTTCTGTTATGTGTTAGGTCGTGAGCTGCAGTCATAATCCAGCTGTCTGCAATCACCATTCCTCCAACTCTTATTCCGTCTATATTCAGTAGCACTTGCCAGGGGATGGTATTGTCTGGAGCTTCACTGCCTCCAATGATCCTCTGATAGGTGGAGATGAGTGTTGTGGGCTGACCACAGACTGGATGAGACAAAAAATAGGTTCATACAGACACAGACTTCATGTTTTAATTAAAATGTACATATGTTAGATAGGGTGTTTCAGTACCAGGTATACATGTTGGAGTGACATTGTTGGTGTTGGATCTCCACTTTCCTTCTCCTTTACAGGTTAAACTAACTGACGACCATAGGGAACAAGATAATAGCATTTATTTTAAAATTAAGATTTATCAAAAATGTAATTTGAATTAATTATATTTTTTTAATGATACTAGTAAATACCTCACCATTTACACCCCCTGGGAAAGAGTAAAATGGTTCATTGCAGTGATACTGAACAACAGAACGGTACTGATTCTGAAGGCCAGACAGGAAGGTCACCCCTCCATTCAGCAAAGGTTCTGGTTCTCCACAATCATTTACTACAGAGGAACAAAACAAGGAAATATTAATAGTTTGCAAGTGAAAGAATGTGTAAATAATTGATGCAACATCTGTAAGACATGATAACCAAACATTAATCACATTTTTGTGTAGATATGTGATTGTTACTGATTGTTACCGTAGACCAACCAAAACAACATGTCTCTCATTTCCTCCCTCACCGTTTGTGCTGTAGTTTAGGCTCCAGCCCTGACTCAGGCCTTCATCATCAGTATGGTAGTCCAGTGTGACAGAACTGGAATTTGTAGCTATCAGACCTGGACTTTTTCCACCACACAGCTTCATGGGATCTCTGTCTGGGATGGTCACCTATGTGCAGAGGAGGAGTAGAAAGTTTATTTATATACACTGAGGCGTATCAGTCGCATTTGTTGTAAGGAAGCCCTTTGCCAATACCTGCAGCCAGTGATGTTGACACCTGGGACCTTGCTGAGTGTCCACGCTGTCTATGTGGAAGTTGTCAGTGAAGTTTAGAGTGATAATGAATCTGGGGTCCACAGAAATGATGTACTTGCAGGACAGAAATGGTGGTGAGGGGCGAGGGTGCCTTGGACTGGACAGATGTCCTGCATGCTGCTCAAATATATTACCACCACAGGAGACTGGACATGGGGCAAAATCAATTATTATTTAGTTTAGTTATTTACTCAGCAGCATTAATGCCATGCTGTAACTACTGAGCTTCACTGTATGACACACATTAAGGTACATATACAGAAGCATACATTTAGTTTATACAGTACTCACACAAACATGTGCGCTGGTCTAAATGAAGTTTGTAACCATAGTGGCAGGAGCAGTGGTAAGAACCAGGGGTGTTGCTGCAGATCTGAGAGCAGAGAGGATGCGAGCCTGGACCGGGGTCCGATTTTGAACACTCATCCACGTCTGTAGATGAGAAGGTGATTAAAGGGAAAACTTAACCTAAATTTAAATTTAGGTCATTCACATATATTTTTATTTTTTGGCATAGTTTCAAACTTTTGAATTTAATGAGGTTTTATGTTAGTCTGATAACCCAGGACAAGATTGTTATATATCTATAGAGACAAATGTTGGAAATACATTTTGATTTTTTTCTTCGAATGTTTTGACGCTCTTACTTTCACCTCAAAGCAATACAGTTGTTATATGTTTTTTTATATGCATTGTTCATTGACCAAAATCCCTGGAAGAGCACCATGTTAATTATTTTTTTAAGGTGAAATTTCTTCAGAAGATTGGGGGAAATCACGTAATGCAGGGAAAAGGAAAGTGACCAGAAAAGCTCTACCTATTGCCTCGTAGGTAGCAGAGAAACCAATGTGCTGTTGGAGCTCTGCAGAGGAGTCACTGGTTTGAAATTTTAGAGTCAATCTGTTGCCTTCAGAAAGGACTGGCACTTTGCCTGGGTGATGACTTGAATTTTCCTGTCCACAAAACATCCCCAAGACCTTTTGATTGTAGAGAACCTGTAAAGTATAAAGAGCAAATAAGACATTGTAAGACCTGATCAAGTAAGGTAAAATACAACCAAGTAAGGCAGTAGCAAAAAAAACCCTGACTTTACCGAACTGAGAAAGTCATTTTCAAAAGGAAGAATCTGACCACTGATGGTATAAACTGCATAATGGACAGAGCTTCCAGGTCTGTGAAGTGAAGCCAAAGCAGTGTTTTGAACCTGCATTCTATGTAAAGACTGGCAGGGGGAGCTCCATTGGCTGCAATAACACACCAATACCATTCACTCTGATGGAGAATGAGCCGACTTCTCACTTCATTTATGAGCTCAGTAAACAGTTTCCTAACGAGTTTATTGTCTCAATCACTAGATTTAAGTCGTCTTCCATATATTATGATCTACATTCAGTAAATTATGGTCCAATTTAGAGTAAAATAGACGATAAAGCAGTGTATGTTTTCTGGTGTGGCTACCTTGTGATTGACAGGTCACTCAGTGTGTCTGTCCAGCACAGCGCACCAAACTCAGATCAAACTGTCAAACTAGGCAGTGCTGATCAAATAGGAAGCAAGATTATTTTACTGCGTTGCCTATTTATCACCTAAAATTGTTTCAGAAACATGTTTTAATTCATTTTCATGGTTCACACCTGATAAGGACAGGATACACTTACTACATCAAGTGTCTATTGCATAGGGTGACCCATTGACAGCATATAATTAATGGACAAAGCTTTCGGGTCTCTGAAGTGAAGCCAACATGGAAATGTCTTGAACCTAAATTCTTACTAATGACCAACAGGGGGCAGTTGAATTGGCTGCAAAAAAGATATGGGCCTACTTCTCACTTAATTAATTAGTTCAGTAAACCATTTCCTAATGAGGTTATGGTCTCAATTGCTAGTTTCAAGTCTTCTTCCATACAGTATGATGTTCATTTTGTAAATGTTGGTAAAATCGATAAGGCAGGGTGCCTTAGAGAATGGCTACCTCATTTAAAATCTTTTCAAAAACGTATTTTAATGTAATGTTATGCCTGTGTTCTGATTAATGCCAGTATTATTTGGCTTGTTGCAGTTGGTTGTTGCATTCACAGTAGTATGCTAAAATGTTGTTAACAAGCTGTTGTGTTGGCTGCCAAGAAGTGTCAAATTGGAAGGCTCAAAATGGGCAAATAGGCAAGGTTTGTGACATAGTTTTACTACTGCAACTTGCTTATTTCAGTCTTTTGTTTTTTCACTCACATTTCTAAATATATAAACGTCTCTCAGCTATTGTACAGCATTATTTCGTATTATCTTATCAGCTCTGTTTTGAATAATCATAGCCTGCAGTCATGTCTGCACACACGTTTACAATATGTCAATCAGGATTACCAGACCAATACACAGTGAGAACTGCCCTGATGATTTGTAGTCCCAGTTCAAGACCTCAGTTTCTGCAGGTCATCAACACTCAGGTCATAGTTAAGCAATAAATAGACTTTAATATGAAAACCCTGGTCTATTGTTTGTAATATTGCACAATATTAAATTTCAACATGGCTCTGACCGTCAGAGAGTCTTGATAACAGCCTGAAGAAGCTTTAATATCCAGATGTGTTATGGACAACTGGATCTGGTGGCCCTCAGGAACCCAGAGGTCCCATTGCTTCAGCAGGTTAGGAAGGTAAGGCAGGGGATACTGAGGGGAATGGACCTCTCCATGCATTACAGGTTGAGATTCGAGTAGCTGCCAGCACAAACACAGAAACCTGGGATTGTTGTGCATAAACACAGAGTTGGAACTAAGGTGGTAGTCCAAAGTTGATGCAAACAGAAAGAGAACAAACAAAGTGACACAATAATCTTTAAATTTTGCAACCACATAGTATTGCTTTAGTTTGGTATTTAGTTTGATATATGGAGATCACATAATTAATCTTAAATACTGCTCATAGACAGCTATCATACAGTTTAACACAAATAGTCTGTATTTACTGTAATTTTTTTTAGGGTAGTAATTCTTGAAAAAATAATAATTCACTAAAACATGCAACATGAAGGTGAAACAAATAGATTAAGCTTACCATATAACACAATAGTTCCATCCCATGTCTGCAATAAATGTACCTCTGTGTGACTGCAGTTTTACACAAAATGTCTAATGCACAAATGGACCATTAATGTCACACAGGCTGTGGTTTGAAGTATTTTGCAATGGAATTTAACCTCCAGGGTTTGTTTATCTTGGCAAAACTCATTTGCAGGTATGAATTGTAGAAGAACTTAACAAGAAGAATGAGAAGTAAAAAACGAGTTTTTGTGCAGTATAAAGTTCCAGAGTACGAGCACAATGAAACCCCCAAAACGTCAGTGGAGGGAGAGCCTACTGTGTTTGTGAGTTCATGAAGATAGATTAAGTATGTATTACTTACATAGTACACATACACAGCAATTAGCTAGAACTATATACAATAGTGGCATCTCAAGTATTACAATGACCAACAAATACCAAGTTGGTTAGAGAGAAGGTAGAAGATATGTATCTTATCTGTGTTACAGGCATGAAAAAGGCAGATGCAAGTCTGTATTATGTCACTTTATTTTAAAAAGGTTTTAGTGGATTTAAATACAATGTGATGACTTCACAATCAGTATGACATTCATTCAGTAATTTTAGGAAGGAACTGGTTATAATAGTAAGTAGAAATGTGCACTTGATCATTTTATTGTCAGTTGTTAATTTATAGTTTTTATGTGACACAATATGCATTAATTCTGCAGAAAGAGTATATTTAGAGCAAAGTTTGTTCTCTTTTTCTTACTTTATTGTAAATGTTGTTACTTTTGTTTCAATGTTTTCACACCATGTTGTAATGAATTACAGTAAAGCTCAATTCTCCTGCATAGTCTTGTTGATCCAGTCCAGGTAGTGGGTGACCCTGGTATAGACTCCGTATGTTCCCTGCTGTCCACAGTCAACCCCCCAGCTGACGATCCCAGCAGCCCAGACCCGTCCGTCATCAGTCAGGGTAAAAGGGCCTCCGCTGTCACCTTGGCAGGAGTCCTTCCCACCCTCAGGGACTCCAGCACAAAACATGTTACTTGTCAGACGTGGTACACTGCTCCTTTTCTTTTTCGCTGAAGTGATTGAAGCCCTGCATGTCTCCTGCTCCACCACAGGGAGCTGCACGTACTTCAGCTTATTTGTTAAAATCCGGTTATTGTTACTTTCTGTGAGGCCAAAGCCTGACACCAATCTGAAAAAATGTAGAAGAGACAGTTATGGGGAACTCATTAGAAAGGGGCAAATAAGAGTCTCCTGTCTAAAACATTCACATGTTGGCAAAACAATGAGATAAAAGCAATAAGAAGATTTAAACTGAAGTTAAAAAGAGTTCACTAAACTTAAAGCAGGATAAAAAAATAAATATAAAATGGATTATGAAATGAAACCAGGCAGTTGTTTCTTTACCCCATCATGCCAGTGACGTATGTGGCACCTTTCTCTGGCAAACATACTGGCATAACAGATGCTCTGAATGTGATTGGCTCTCGCAGTTTGATCAAGGCAATATCATTGTTGAAGTTTACTTGGTTGGGATTGTCATATTCAGGGTGAATGTGGATTGAGGCGGTATACACAGGAGATTGCCTCAGGGTGTTAACATTAGTGAGTCCCATGTAAACCTGGAAATCAATAGCATAGGAAGAAATCAATGTCAATTCAAAAACATGGATGCAATGGGCTTGCAGATAACAATAGACCACGTACCCGTAAAGCATCATTTGGTACTGTATTTCCACTCTCTTTTAGGACATGAGCTGCAGTCATAATCCAGCGGTCTGCAATCACCATTCCTCCTGCTCTATGACCATCTACACTCAGTAGCACTTGCCAGGGGATGGTATGGTTTGGAGCTTCACTGCCTCCAATGATCCTCTGATAGGCAGAGATGTGATTTATAGGCTGGCCACAGACTGGATGGGATACAGACGTATATGTATCACACAGCGTTTCACACAATTAAACAACAGATTCTTGACTGAGATCTAAATGAACAAAACCAATACCTGGTAAACATGTTGGACTGACAACAATATCATTGTTGGATCTCCACCTTCTGTCTGCTTCACAGGTGAAACTAACTGAAGAGCAGAGAGGAGACAAAAGAAAAATATATTTTGATGAAATCTTAAGTGAGGTAGAAGTGTACTACACTGTGACATCATTATTGGGTGTGGTTACAGGTGCAACAGAGCACACTTGTGTGCACACCAATTAATGATACCTCGAAGGAAATTACTATTATTATTGTTTTTCAGCATGGTGTTAAGTTAGTATTTAGGAACGAGTAGCTTTGCATGCTTTAGCCCATTTACTACAAATCATATATACATTACTCCACAGTTAACCATTTTGCTAATGCTGTCCTTTAATATATGTGTAGATGCTTAAATAGATAGTCATTACATCACAAGTCTTCCAGATTTGGTATATATTATTGGTAAATGTACATTCATCACATTAATGTAAATTGGAAATAATGGATTATACAACTCAAACAAGTTTCAAGAGGATCTAAAACAGCTTATCATAGAACACTGTATGTAAATATCTCACCATTTGTTCCCCCAAGGAGGGAGTAAAATGGTTCATTACAGTGATACAGAACAATAGAACGGTACTGATTCTGAAAGCCAGACAGGAAGGTTACCCCTCCATTCAGCAAGGGTTTGGGTTCTCCACAATCAATTACTGCAGAGGAACAAAAAACAAGCACATGTTAATATTTTTCCAGATAATTTGTGGTTGAATCAAACTTCATAAGCTTAAAGGTAACATACTGTGGCATTCTGGCAGAGGGAGATGCCACTGCCCATTGCTCTGGCACATGGTAGAGAAACTCTCGATCTCCTGCCCATTCTGACAGAAACAGACATTATGTGTTTTTATATCACACACATTGACACATAAACATGTTGCTGTTAAGTATTAGACATTGTAAGTTTAATCTAACCGTCATTAGCTTGTATCCTGGGTCGCAGCGCACAGAGATGTAGTCTCTGTAGAGATATTCGGTCAAGACAGGAGTGACCCTGCCCCTTCCCACTTTACCAGGAAATGGACACTGCACTCCTGGAAACACCATAGACAAGCAGACATGTAACATCAACTGCATAGTTATCCAACAGTACGATGGAAAGGGTATTTCACTGGCACATAATGCTTATTCCTCTCTCACTCACTGTGTGTGCTGTAGTCCAGGCTCCAGCCTCTGCTCAGGCCGTCATTATCAGTGTGGTAGTCGAGCTGGACATTGTTGGAGTTTGTGATTATCAGACCTGGACTCTTTCCACCACACAGCTTCATAGGCTCTTGGTTTGGAACGGTTACCTTTTAATAATAATAATAATA